ATTATTATTATTATTATTATTATTATTATTATTATTATTATTATTATTATTATTTGAATAATGGTGTTAGTTCACAGTTGAGGAGAGGTTTTCCTCTGGAGTGCTGTAAGGAAGGAAATGGTTACATTCTCTATTCCTGTCCACACTAATCTGATTCATGATAAGCAATCCTTCACCTGTCTATTTAATCATGTTTTATTCATCAATTTTAACAAACTGTTATTTCTGTTCAGTTTACACACAAATAGTTTATATCATAAGGCTATGCAAAATGTTGAAGAGGTGTTTTGCTTTACTGAAGCTTTAAGAGAAGTCACCCTTCTAACAGTGGAATGGACTGACCATGATGCTTCACACATCAAATGACCGATGTGGCTTCTGTGCATACACAGAAATCACATTCTTCAAAATAAGACTGCTAGTCAAGGCAGATTAGCCCCACCTCAGCTCTTCACAAGTCAAAGCACATTGCTAAGGACATGCAGGTCATCTTTGGTGTGAGAGAACCAAGAAACTCAGTTCTAGTTTCTGATGTTTCCTGATGTTCCTCATTTACCCAGCTACAGAACTTTCATAAATTGCCAAACTTACATATGGAATTACATGCTAAACCAGTACTGTAGTATCAAGTCAATTCTGACTTTATCTGAAAGGAAAATGATTCTGATTTAACACAATGCCTCCAAAAAGGAAGATTAGACAGGAAAAAAAGTTGTGAACACAGACAAAAGTTCTGACTGGTCCTCCACATTTCTACTTTGTCAACAAAGATTCTCTATTTCCACTGAAACCAATCCTGGATACTTGAAAATCTGAATGTGACCCACTTGTATATATATTTGCATATATCTGCATATATACATATAAAACGTTCTCATGCACAGACTACATGCATCCACATCCTCCCATCAAGAAACTGAAAATCTGGCCTCAGGAAACATAAATCTATTCATACTTATTGGTAGTAAATCTCACTGAGTTCAACAGTTCCCCTTTCAGGAAATATGCATAGGCTACTGCTATGCTGGGAATGGACTTATTTAGCTCAGCTTCTCTGTATGTACAGAAAGAGAACTATTTCTATGTAGGCCAATATGTGGCTGAATTATTTTAACTTATTATTTTAGGATCTTGTCGCTAAAGCTTTAGGAGTCCCATCTAATCGAATTGTGGTTCGTGTGAAGAGAATGGGAGGAGGATTTGGAGGGAAAGAGTCCAGAAATATTATTCTGTCTACAGCTGTTGCGGTAGCTGCTTCTAAGTAAGTTCTAATGAAAGGACCCTTGATATGGCTACTTCAGGCTTTAATGTGAGGTTAAAGCTTCTGTTTCTTATGGAGGATCAAGAAAATGGATTTGTTTGTGGCCCAGAACCTCTACGTGTCCTTTTTCAGGGTGATTGCCTTCATCTGTTTGTCACATAGAAATTCAAAACTCTGCCATGATTCGGAAATGGCTGCCACCTTCAACATCATCCTGGAGAGACTTACTTTCACTGCATATTTGTAGATGTATATATTATATTATGTACCCTTTAGAATTAGATTCATAAACATTAAAAAAAAAATCCTTTTCAATACCAGCTCTTGGTCTCTACAGAAGCCTGTCTTGTGCTTTATTTAATGTCCTTTCAACACTAAGCAAATACTTTATTTTTTCCTCCCTGGTCTTTTCAATTACAGTATATGATTATTTCATACAGCTTTAGAATACACACACACACACACACACACACACACACACTTTTTCTTGAATTTAACTTGCTTTTAGAAAATATGGGTGGGACTTCTAATGGGTTTGGCGTGATCCATGTATGCTCTATAGCTGAGGGAATGGTAGAATGAAAAAGGCTTGCTCACAAATGAAAGCCTTCCATGTCATTCTCTGATATAAATTGTTACTGTGACACCCTTGCAGTAGGTTCACTCTCAGCCTAATTCTACAGGACTGGCTGCCCAGTACGATGCATGCTTGATCGTGATGAAGATATGTTGATTTCTGGTGGAAGACATCCATTTTGGGCACAGTATAAGGTAAATAAAAATTATTTTTCAGAAGATTATACTCTTGATGAGTGAAACAATGCACCGTTCAGTCCATATTTTGTAGCAGGTAATATCATATAAAAAGAATGAATATACTTTCCATTCTAAATTCTTGACAGTTAGCTAGGAATGGTCTTTTCTATGTAAAGACTAGTCAACCAGCAATAGCTTTCATGAAGGCCGGTCTTTCAACACTAAATAACTCAGTTAAATGAATATCATAATATCTGTAACTGGAATAATTGAATTCTACAAAATGGTTATTTTCTGCTTTTCCCAGGTTGGCTTTAAGAAAAATGGAAGGATTACTAGCCTAGATGCATCATATTACTGTAATGGAGGAAATTCTGTTGATCTTTCTCATGGGGTAAGTGGAAAGCACCATCTACTCTGGTTCTTTTGAACCAACTTCAATGGGTGTAGGAATGAGTAAGCTTTTTGAGTTCCATGGAATTATTTGCCTGGTAGAATGGGGAAATTGCAAGGATGGCTTAGATTAGAATAGCAACAATGATAAGTATACAATGTGTACAAGGGCAAAATGATACTAATCAGAGGGTCAGAAGTTGAGAGGATATGACCCCTAAATTGGGTCTGATGGAACACATCAAGAAAAGCTCAGTGATGTTCAAGTTTATTTGGATTCCAGAGGTCAGTGATGTCAGGAATCCACATAGATTTTGGGAATCCAGGCTAGGCGGCTTGTGATGCAGACCTCAAAAAGTGAAGAGAGTGCTTGAGATTAATAAAGTCTCACCAATAAAGGTATGATGAAATAATAAGTCTGACCTAAGATTGGAACTGTTTTTTGCATGCATAATATCCCACATATGTGTATGTATGTGTTCATGTACACACAGTTGTAGTGCCTGGATAGGAGGAGTGACTGGAAGCAGGAAACGGAGGCAAAATCTTTGCTTCAGTTTGGCTCCTTTCCAGTGTCTACTTGTGGTGTGACAATTCCTTCCTGCCTCACTCTGAACTGGCTTTCAAGATTGTCATACCTATTTGCTTCACAATTTATGGATTTTGGAACCATTTCTTTAAAAAAATCACCTGCCATCTTATCACAGTTTCTGTTTGCTAGGAAGGGAGACAGAACAACTTGTTGTAAGGGAAGGAGTGGGAATGACACAAGCAGCAGGACAGAAGGGCAATAACAACTGTAAAATCTGGAAAAGAAAATATGAAAATAGGTACACTGAATAGCTATTCAAACATTCCAAACGCATCCTTTTTTTCCTAAGTGGTTATCATTCCAGATGTGTGTGTGTGTGTGTGTGTGTGTGTGTGTGTATTTTAATTAAGGCAAACATGAAAATACAGTGGAAAATGGAGTTTGTAAAAAATGTGGAGAAGAAAACAAAGGTGCAAGGGAAACATTTCATATTCATTCTCACACATTACCTCTTACTAAATTGCCCCATTCTGAAATTATTTTTCATTAAAGATATACATCAAGTCTTCATTACATGGCTTTACATGCTACAAATTATTTGTCTCAAAACTTCGCCAGTTGGGGTTGTTCTGGAATTTGATAGAGTGAGGCTTTTTCATAACTTGATAATGTTTCACACCTGTTTTAAATTCAACGTTGCTAATATATGGGGTGTATCAAAAGTCAGGCCCCATAGACAATTTATTATATACATTACATTAAATGTTTGAATTGGTTGCCATTTTCTTCTGAACGTTTCCTTACTCATTTGATGCTTGACCTTTGAACATTTCCAAGTACAGTAACACTTGCTCTGAAAAAAAGAATAATAAAATTAATAAAATATATTGTGATTGGGGCCTGACTTTTGGCACACCTTGTATTATTATCGATACATTTTCTGCCATTGGTATGTACTGAATGCAGAAAATATGTCAGTTTGTAACTGTTGGAGCAACCTATAAGTATAGAATCAGCAATGTCAGCAAGCAAAGAAAAAAACAACCCATACGTTATTTGTTTGTTTATTTTTAAATTGATCCCCAGGTTATGGACAGAGCTGTGCTTCACATGGACAATTCCTACAACATCCCAAATATCAGAGGTATCGGCGTAATCTGTAAAACCAACTTGTCCTCCAACACAGCCTTCCGTGGATTTGGGGGTCCCCAGGGAATGATGGTTGCTGAGTGCTGGATGAGTGAGATCGCCTTGAAGTGTGGGCTGCCAGCAGAAGAGGTATGTGCTGACTGAGATACAATTCTCCAGAAAGCATGTTAGAATACTCTCCTAATTTCTTGCATCTATCAGAACTTCCACAATCCCTCTTATGTGAAAGCAGGAGGCCAAAATTTCCTTCTTGGACTTGGTATACCCCTCTGGCCCTAGGGAAAAGGAGAGGATTGGATGCCCTTCCCTCCTTGTCTATAGCCCCAGCATTCCTTTTTGGAAACTGTCAGTCTGCTGGGAGGCTGGTGCCAGCCTTGTCCTCCTTTATGCTCCTCTTTTTGAATTCCAAACCTTTGTTTTCTCTTCAAGTCTTTGCAATGTTCTTGAATACCACTAGACCTCAGGCATTCTGTGTACACCCATCTCCTTATCCCCAGTCTGTTCTAACTTGGTTAGCATTATTTCACCTGCCTTGGAGTTAGGAGGTTGGATCATGTGGCCAGATGCACCACACATGCCATTTATTCCTGTCAAATGCTGTCAAGAAAAAAGAAATTAGTGTGTACATTCTTCATGTATTTCCACTGAACCTGATTTCATCACTGATGCTGATAATCAGACCGTTTTGTGAGTTGGATATAAAAATCTTATTAGGTATCATGGGAATTGCATCCCATTCCTTTATTCTACTGAATATTGAGGGGGTGATGAACATGTTATGCTTAAGAAACTCTGTTTAAGATTAGTGTTCAATATGTTGTTAAAGCTCTACTTGTTTGTTTAAAAGATCCTAGCTATTTCAAAACTGAAGTCTGTCCATTTGTCTTTTGTTCTGAAAAGGTGCGAAAAATCAATCTGTATAATGAAGGAGATATAACTCATTTCGATCAAAAGCTTGAGGGGTTCACCTTGAAAAGATGTTGGGAAGAGTGCCTTACAAATTCCAATTATCATTCCAGAAGAATAGCCATTGAGGAGTTCAACCGGTGAGTGTCTTATTTTTACAGATAATTTCTGATATTACTGTAATTTGGAATCAATTGTCTCATCTGGATTATTTTCATTCTGAAGGTTGCCATGCAGTCTAAATTGACTGACAATGCAACTTGAAACCCAATTGCCTGAAATAAATTCTCTGCTAATTCAAGTGAATGGATTTGACAGAAGAATGTATGGACCTCTATCAAAGTTGTAATTTGATTGCTGTATGTTTTATTTTACTGCATTATTCCTAAAACACACATTATTGCTTCCATCATTGCAAGGCTAATTAATAAGGTAATTCAGACTATGTATATTATGCATGCATGGACTGTATGTAGCTATATAGGGACAAATACCCATTTCAGGGTACTATAAGTTATTTATTTCAGATTTTATTCACACACACACGCACAAACATGAATGATGGAAAAATATGACATGCAAAAAAGATAAAAATACATTTGGAGCAAAAAATGAGGAGGAACAAAATATGCTGCACCATCACATTGCATTGGATTGAGCCATTCAGAAAAAATCTTGGTACATCATACCACAGAGACACCTGCTTCATTAACTGCTACAAACAAACTGGAATAGGTTATTAAGGTGACTCATAGATACACTTCCCACAACTTTCTCAATCATTCTTATTTGCTTTTGAAGAATTATGCTATCTATGGCTTCTTACAACCAGTGGCTGGAAACTAGACAGGGAGGATTCAGAGGGCTAGCAAACTAGCACTAACAAACCAATGTACAACTACTGTAGCAAATTTCATATTTCATACACTACTAGTATTAGGTTTCCTTGAATTTTGGCTTGTATTTGGGACTAAATGCAAATTATTCTTTCACTCAAGGGGCTAGCATTTATGGGTCTTGATCATTAATCACTGCCACTATGGGCTTAAAATAAAATAGCATAGATTAAATGAGGTATGCTGCATTTTTTTATTACTCCAGTTCCCTATGAAATGCTGACAAAAGCTATCAAAAATTCAGAGGTGAAAGGAAAAATAAATCAAGGTCAAAAGCAAAGGAAAAAGGAGGTGGGGGGGGGACCCTTATGGTATATATGCATATATATACATTTAAGTTTGAATACAACCAAGTTTGAACTTTGGGTGAATCCTTTTGCAAACTATATTCAGCAGTACAAGGTTGTCGTTAGTAATTGTGTTTCTTATTTATAAAATTTACTGTCTGAATGCTAGAATTGTTTTGAACACAAGCTTGGAAAATAATGTCCTGTTTAGGATGAGTGCATTTGAAAAGGCATGTCAATTTGACAAACTTCTGTTTTCCCAGGCAGAATCGCTGGAAGAAGAAGGGCATGGCCATTCTTCCAACCAAGTTTGGGATCAGCTTCACAGTTCCTTTCCTGAATCAGGTTGGCAAGCAGCCTAATTTATTACTCAGACAGCCCATGGGTCACTGGTGACCTCCTTCATATATAAATAGAATTCCCATGCTTCATGTGATTGTGGACTTTGGAAAGAGATTATATGGAGAGTGCACCAAACTTATGCAGTTATATTAGGACAGATTTTGTTTGAACTTTCAGAATGAACAGATGTAATCTGAGAGCAGCAATTACCATTATGATCTCATTTCCCAAAGTGCCGGACCAAAAATTTTAGTTTTCAGATTGAAGCAAAAGATAACTGCTACTTCCCCCAGATGCCCAAATCTTACTTCAGCACTAACGTAAGGACAGCATCCTCCATCATACCTGAGAGCAGCAGACTAGAGGCATGGCATTCACACTTCTGTCTGCCAACACCTTGCAGCTGTTCCCTGCCCAACCTTCTGCTGCTACCTGAAGGGGCTGCCTCACTCTACCTGCTGCTAATTCAGATCTTCATAGCTAATAGAGTATTGATTTGTGTAAAAAAAACATTTTTGGAGCTTCAATTAAGTATGAAACAAGTTTGGTCAGTTACACGATTGCTTTAATAAATTCCAAAAAAGGGGACCCACATTAATATAGTCCCATCTCTATAAGTTGTGCTGAGTTCAGTAATGAGTTGCCTGGTTATCCACAAGTGCAACATGATTCTCTGCAACAAGGAAGCTTTCACCGGTAGACTGAATGGCACAAAGTTATCCACAAGTGCAACATGATTCTCTGCAACAAGGAAGCTTTCACCGGTAGACTGAATGGCACAAAGTTATCCACAAGTGCAACATGATTCTCTGCAACAAGGAAGCTTTCACCGGTAGACTGAATGGCACAAAACATGTCACATGGGTTTCAGTCCTGATAGTCCTCTACTGGTAAAGTAGGGTTCTATACCTGTTTGTATTGACACTTGTGCTATACATGTTTATATTGCCTGGATGAATCTACAGTTGAAAATCAATGATGGTTGATAAACCTTCTTTCAAACAGAGACATGCGATTAAATTCCATAGAGCCTCTAATATTAGTAATTTGGCAACTGTGATCATCAGATTGATTTCTAATGAATACATATGAAAGATGGAAGACTATAGTTAAAAGTGTGCCCTAGGGACAATAATATTTCAAATAGATCTTAACAATCCATTTCTCTAATTTTGGTGATAGGCTGGTGCACTGGTACATGTTTACACTGATGGTTCAGTGTTGCTCACACATGGTGGGACTGAAATGGGTCAAGGTCTGCACACCAAGATGATTCAGGTAAATTATGAATGTATATATTACAGCATTGTCCTGTTTTAATATATGCCTCACTTGTTCTACTACCTCTATTTATAATAACAGTTTCTGCAATCCAGCAAGCCTCTTGACATGCAGAAGTGACATACCCCACGAAAATCTCGATTTTTTCCTTATTTCCCTTGCTATATTACAACTTGCCTTTGATGTCTGATGGGAGCCAGGATGGCTTGCTTTTTGTGAAAAGAAAAAAACAGTTCTCCATAGTGCTCTGTTTCTTTGGGTTGTGGCCAGTGTAACATTTAACAATGAATCCAATGTTCTCTTTGTAGGTTGCCAGCAGGACTCTGGGGATCCCTACCTCTAAGATCTATATAAGTGAGACAAGCACTAACACAGTGCCAAATGCATCTCCAACAGCCGCTTCTGTCAGTGCTGATATCAACGGGATGGCTGTTTTTGTAAGGAATATTACTTACACATAATTTTGTAGCTATCAGTTTGTAGCAGGGCCCCACTCCAAGTGACTTGGCTGCACCCCCCAGAATCCTCCAAAAGGTATTATCAATACAATGTTTAATGTGAAAGGAAATAGTTAAATAAGTGGAGTCCCATTACCTACATGTTGGTAGAAAAGACCTTTGCCTGAGACCCTGGAATTCTACTGCTGATCAAAATAGCAGCATTAGGAATGATAATATCTGGTCATTAAGCTTCCATGGATACTTCACTTGAGATAAACAATGATACAATAACATATGAGTCTAAAGTATCTTGGTGGTATCTTTCCACAACCTGTTATCCTCCAGATGTGTTGGATCACATTTTAATTTTTAGTTTCCATGGCCAAAGGCTGGAATTCTGGGAATACTTCTGTGAGTTATAGTCCCACAAAGATTAGAAAAGTTTGACTTACATAATCATTGCTGCTAGCACAAGTCTGTCTGATTTGGGAGTCCAAAAAAACAATTTATCTGGTTTGCACTATAAAAGTGGGCATTGTGGAAGTCTCTTAGCAGATTTTGTTTTAGGATGAAAGTATATGAGCAGAGCAGTTGCTCCTTTAAAGTATCTGACATGGCAGTTTTAAATCTAAAATAGATCATTATATGTTTATTCATTTGAGGTCAGTTTCAGACAAATAAAAATATGTAGGCTTAATTGCAATCTGCCAGCACAGTAGAGGTTATCTTTGTAACAAATTTTTCTTTGCTTTGGATTATTTTTTAGAATGCTTGCCAGGCCATCTTAAAAAGATTGGAGCCATTCAAATGTGCTAACCCAAAAGGATCATGGGAAAATTGGGTATGTTTTCATCCAGTGCAAGTTAAAGTTTTGGAAGTATAGCATAAATGTGCTATCTATACACTATTCATTCTTTCTGCTCTGGTAAAGGACTACTTGGGTTAGTAAGAAGACTAACTGACATTCTAGCAACTTTTCTGCTACAGGTCTAACAGACATGGTAAGCTCTGCAAGATTTACAAGGAAAACCTGAAATTCTACATGCAGGCTACTATATTTCTCAACTGAAATCACTTATAACATTGCAAATTCTAAGCAGCTTTCCCCCATGCTACTTTTTCTTAATTGCTTTGTATATCATTATATTGTTGTGGTCATATTTCATTTGCTTCTGTATTAACATTGTATGGCAGCCTTCCCCAACCTGGGCTCTTCCAGATAAGTGGAGTTTTGTGGAACTTAACTACTAGAATTCCCTACCTATAATGCTGACAGTTCACATCATTGTGGTCTAGACAGGGTGTGCCCTGTTCAAGGAGTGATGGTGGAAAATGTGTCCTGTTCTGTATTTGTATATGTTACAGGATGGTAAGGTTGCCTTCTAATCAAGCTTCGCTCATGGTGATACATCCATGCAGATTTCTTGGCATGATATGAAAACAGTTTCCTATTGTCTTTCATTTTCCCAGTCTAGCCTACAGCCCTGGACTTTCCAAATGGCTCCCCATCCATGTACTTATAAAGGCCAATGCAACTTAGATTTTTATATCAGCCATGTTTAGCCTGATGTTGCCATTTAGTTGGCCTATAGCATGTAACAATATGAGTACAGAACAAGGCTGCCTATCGTTTTGAGTTGGCAAGTATAAAAGCACAATGACAAGCCATTTCAGTATTTAGCAATGCACTCCTGGACATTTCTATTCAGAAGGAATCCCATTCAATTCTATGGGACACCCTTCTAGATAAAGAGAAATGGTGAGGATGTAGACTTGCAGTCCTTCAAATGCTGTTGAATTACAGTTCCCAGCATTTTTCCACATTCACAGCAGCTACTTGGAATTGTAGATGAGTAACAACCGGAGGGTCATCGGCTACATGCCTCGGGATATCAGAATGCTGTCTCACATAGCCTTTGCTCTATGGTAATTTTGAGCAAAGATACATGTATGTTTTTTAAAAGTTGAACATTACTAGTTGGGAGGAAGTTTGGTTTTATTGTAATGCTTTGTTGATAATGGTGTTTTCCCTTTTGAACACTTGTATTACTCAACAAAACACTTCCATTTTCCCAGGATATTACAGTTATTCCAGTTTGAGGAAAGCTTAACAACAATCTATATGCTTTTTTCACCAGGTATTAGCAGCCTATCATGGTTGTGTGAGTTTGTCAGCTACAGGATTTTATAGGTGAGTGAAACTATCAGAGAAAAGATCTGTAGAATGTCATAAGCTCTTGGCATTTGGGTATTATTTCTGCTGTTGGGAATTTATATATAAGCTAATTTCATAAAAAGGGCTTATAATAAAGATGTGATAGAGCTGTCTCTTATCTGCCTTCTACTAACATAATACGTTTGTTAACTCGACTTACTCTTGAAATCGCAGACTGCAGTCTTGACTTGAGTCAAGATATTTGCATGCTATAAATAATATATAAGAATTAAGGAGAACAGCTAAATGTTTTTGTGGCTGAGCGCCAGAGGAGGAAGAGGAAGAATGCTGAAACAGAAAGAAATGAAACGGGTGCAGCTTATTTCATGGGACATCTGAAACAATTCCTCTACTCAAGCTCTCTCAGAATTCTACCTCCAGATTTTGGGGATCAGCTCTAAAGTGCAAATCTCTTCCTTTCAGTCCCTTGGTTAACAGGAACCACTGTTTTGATCCTCAGAATTGCCTGTATTGCTTGACTCTAGTAATTTTCAGTTATTCTGACCTAACTAGGATTCCATTGGACTAAATCACAATTACTGATTTCACTGCAATGATAATAAAATCTATACATGCATGCAAACATATCCTTCATGCTATTTCCTTTCGGGGTAAGCAACATTGTGCAGAAAAATAAGAAATAGTAGGCCAAAGAGATTAAAGATATGAGATAAGCAAAAGAAAATGAAATATAGCTAATCTAGTTTACTCCCACAGCATACACTATGCTTCTCCATCCCTTTTTCTCCTTGCAAACCAACCTTGTTTTGACCACATCCATACACTGATTTATGCATTGCCTTTTGTACCTTATCATAACACCTCTGCTGTTTTGTATTTTTTCCTCCTCTTGTTCCTTCTCTGTTAAGAATTCCTGATGTTGGCTATGACTTCTCGAAGAATGCCGGAAAGCCCTTCCATTACTTCTCCTATGGTGTTGCTTGTTCTGAGGTTGAGATAGACTGTTTGACTGGTGACCACAAGGCAAGCAGACTTACTAAACAGTTAAAAACACTTCTTTGTTTTGATGTATAGAGGGACATTCTATATAGTAATCAGGAGTGAATTTAATGGAGGAGTTATTCTTGACTTCATTGTGTGATCTTCAGTAAATCTTTCTCTCTGTGTTTATCCTTTACTAGGGCTATGTAGATCTGAAAAAATCTACTTACTGTATTTTGCTTTTGGGGGATTCATCTGGGTATGAAATTGGCAAAACCACTTCTAAATTTATGGTGGAATTTTTATAATCTTCTATATCTTTAATTTTGCTTTGATCATTGATTTCATAGTGATGGTAGATTTCCACAGATATGAAGCTCATCTTGACACTTAAGTCCAAAGGGCTCCAGCTATTTGACTCAAAATTTTGCCCAAAGCAATTAATTCTGTAGTTCAGAATAACTTTTTAAATCACTAAGTATTGTATGGCATTGTATTGAGATTGGGATCTTGAAGGTACACTGAGAGTTGCCTTGGCAACTTGGTAAATCAATATCTAGGCTGAGTTTTGACCTGGACATTTCCAGCTCAGATGAAAACTTTTCCTTTCTATGGAACACAGACTAGAAAACTTATAAAAACATCAAGTCAAATGACATCCATATTTCGTTAATAATGTGTGGTCAGCCTTGTGTTTACTCAGCCTTTACTCGTTTTGATATTTAGAATCTTCGCACTGACATTGTGATGGATGTTGGCACCAGCCTGAACCCAGCTATAGATATAGGGCAGGTAAGCAGTGCAAGTTCTCTACTCTGTGAAGCTAAAATAAATGTATTTACAGACAGGCAGATTAAATTGGTTAATAAACAGCAAAAGGCTTGGTAAACAGCAGCAGTACTATGAACTCTTTTAACATGGAAAACTGTTAATTGCTAATTTATTATCAGCTTGTGTTTGCCTTCAAGTGTTTTTGCACATGATGCATATATTTGTGCCAGCTGAAAAAAAGAAAACGGTCTGATGGCTTCAAGTCACTTCATTACAGTATACATTTATTTCAGAAAATACATCTTTTGGAGAGACAGAACCTTCTATTTTAGAGTTCATTTCTTCATTTTAACCTGTGCTGCAATTCACCTAAATTACTGAATTCAGATATGTGGCCTAACTATGAGGCTTCCTGCATTACCAGCTAAATATAGTGCTGCAAATCCACTATTTAGTCATACAATCTGGTTGCATATATGCATACTTGAGCTGGCAAATATTCAATATGTGGCAATATTACAACTCCTACTGGTTAACATTTTACTTTATTATATTTATTATATTAGGTGCCCTCCAAACATCAACTGCAGCTGTTTTTCTTGTAGATAAAAGTTGTTTACCAGGACTTTTACATTTATGTTTCATGTTCTTAACCATAAATTAACATTGCTTCTTTCATCTTCAATATGACAATAATCTTTGGATCTAATATTAGTTTGGATTTAATATTAACTATATCTTAGTATGAGCCTCTGGCTCCTCATGGTTTTCACCTATCGCTGGAAGAGATCAACAGTTTTGATTCACCTTATCTATGATTTTGGGAAACAAGCCACCTTCAAAATTTACAATCCTGGCTTATTGTTCTAAATAACTACAATTATTTAGATTAACTACAGTTTGGAGTTTGGAAACAAGACCCATTCAGGTGTTATCTAAATTGAACCACTCACCATGCATGTCTTCTGGATAAATCTCTTTTTCTGCCAACATTACTCACATAACAAGTTTCCTTGTAGTATTCACAGGTTCAGTGTAAATGTCTGCAGGAGGAATGCATATGCATATATGACCAAATGTATATGAGCCAGGATCTTGCAAACCTTTACTCTGGCTGTGCAAAAGCTTGTAGCAAAACTGACTTCCTTGGAGCATGTAGATCCCTGGAGGGAAGCCAACCATACCGACTTAGAGTAAAGGGCAGGAAGTGGTGGAGAGGGGGTTATCTGAAATGCTTACTCTGAAAGCACTTCAGAGTCAGCTTCTGTTCAGACCACTTGGATCTGCCTTTCATGGCCATACCTGAGAGGAGGTCCATTGAGCCTTCAAACTTGGCATTTAATGCTAATGTAATTTAGTATAACGTCCAAAGGCATTAGCAAGCATGAACTTTAAACCATTGCTTACAACAGATGATAAAGCAATAAATTTATTGTACTATTTATCAGTTGCTTTGCTTCTCATTTAAGCAACGTACAGTGCAACTTACATAAGCGTCTGCAAAAACCGTTTTTCTTAAGCGCTAAGCTATTGCAGTCTGGCTCTGAATCCTTTGGACTGAGCAGTTTTCTTGGATTGATGGCAGGGCTTCCACACAATCTTAATGAATCCAGTGGGGCCTATTCCCAAGGACATGGGAATAGGATTGCAGTCTTAAGCATTTAGGAAGCTGGCCCAAGCACGCGCGCAGGAACTTGTACGACGTTTGGTTTTAAATCTTCCCATTTAGTCTTTTAGTTGTTATCAAGGGGGAAAAGAATTCATTTGGACTTGATTTACCTTTGCAGATTGAAGGAGCATTTGTCCAAGGAACTGGCCTGTTTACCCTAGAGGAGCTGCGCTATTCCGCAGAAGGCAACTTGTATACCCGAGGGCCTGGAATGTACAAAATCCCTGCATTTGGCGACATTCCGTCAGAGTTCTACGTTTCTCTTCTCCGGGACTGTCCAAACAGGAAAGCCATTTATTCATCTAAGGTAAGTGTGTCATCGGGAAATAAATTTCTTCACTTTGCTAAATAGAGTTACAGTAAATGTATTAAGCATGCATACAAAGCAGAACACTGTTCTTCATGTTTTCTGTACACCAGATATTTCATTACAATTGGCAACATGGGACCTTGCTTTGATTGCTTTAGCTCATGGATACCGCTGGACTAATTCTATACTAGATTGCAGAATATAGTATCTTTATTTCTCCCTTTCTGTTTGTGATTCTGCTTTGGTTTCTTTATCTCATTCTCTCTTTGTTGTTGCATCTACCATTCTAAAACAGGCTTTTAAAAAAATGGGTAGCATTATAGGCCAGGGGAATGCTGAGTCAGAACGTATTAGCTGGAGCATCAGTGTGTAATGATTTTCATACAACTACACTGTGGAATGTAAATATTATGTTTTATCAACTCTATTTATCTCTTCCATATTATCCTGCCTTAAAACATTTTAATGACCTTGCTGTAGGATGATCTGGAATTGCTCATTTTGTTTACTTGTGTTACTGGCTGTAGAATGATTATTAAATTGTAAATGTTTCTCCGCTAATTACTTACTCTCTGGCTGCATGCACAGAACGCTTAAAATCCTAAATACAGCTTAACAAAATATTGTAGATAGCAGCTAAGCCATATTATGGCTCAATATGATGGTCTGGTTCACACAACATGCTGAACCACAAACTATACAACTCCATTTGAGCTTAGTCTAATGTGTTTTACCAACCTACTTTCTCTAATTAAACATTATATGACATCAATAGTGTCACTGGTTATTGGTTCTGGAGGTATTCGGAGTTATTCTATAACAGACTGATTTATCTGTCTTCTTCAGGCATTCCTTCCCACACAATTAGAGTTCTGTAAAAGTGAAGGTGGATTCATGTTGCCTCCATCACATTGGAGTTATTCAATTCTGATGGTTCACTGCATGTTGGGAAAGAAATCTCTGAAGCAGGGAACCTGCTGTACTAGTATAAGTTCCCAGGAAATGTAGCTCCCTGCGTGATCAGAATTGGAGTCTATATGAGTAAAGCAGGTTTTCTTCTATGGACATGTTGCTCCCGATATATATAACACATGGATGGAGGACACTAGATCCAAACTATAGGATTATGATGGAAGGGGAATGGATCAATGAACATGATCCCATGCTTATCCTCATGTGATTCTTCTTATGTGGAGAATGAAAGCCTGAATAGGAATAATGTCCAGCACTAAAGCCTGGCTGAAAGGAAAAGAGGCAAAGGAAGGAAGTGCTGTCATGAGTCCTACCAAGAAGCTCCTTCCATATGACCAGGGACCATTTATCTTCTCCAAATCCACTCTCTTACAAGATTGTCCTCATTAGTTGCACATAAAAGGTGCAAAAAAACGTGCATCTGCAAGTTAGCTGGTGATGTCATACAAGACAGTACAACAGTGAATACAGCAAATTATGCACAAAAGATAACATTTTTCCATCACTGTACCTAGTAATTTCACAGTATGTGGTCCAGTGAAATTGTGAATCAGTATATGTGATATGTGCACCTTACTGTACGCTGAGAATAAGTTGTTGATGCAACACTGCATACCCTTTCATCTCCGTAGGCTGTGGGTGAGCCTCCATTGTTCTTAGCAGCCTCCGTATTTTATGCCATCAAAGATGCAATTGTCTCTGCAAGGGAAGAATCTGGATTGAAAGAGCCATTCAGATTAGACAGTCCAGCTACTCCAGAGAGAATACGTAATGCTTGTGTTGATGCCTTCACCAAACTAGTAAGTTAATTTATCTCCTTTTCTCCTCTGCAATATTATTCATTGATCATTAGATTATCATGAACTAGGAGCCAGCTTTGAATAATTTTCACTGGCAATGGCTTTCCCTAACATCTAGTAATCACAACATTTAACAATTGTATGGTGCTCTTCAAGGGTTCAGAATGTATGATCTGGGAATCTTCACAGCAGACCTAAGCCTATAAAGTAATCTCCTAGTGAATCCATGGGAGAAGCAAGATTTGAACCAAAGATATCTGATTTGTACCTTAGTCTCTTAGCTAGTACACTGAATTACACTTTTTCTGAAATAAGAGTTTTTGAAAAGTTTACCAATGCAGTCATGTGTATTAAGGAAAAGTCCATTAAAAATTCAGATATTAATGAAAATAATGTACCACAATACATTTTGTTACAAAAATTATTTGCAAAAACTTCAAACATTGGGTAAAATTACAAACAAAATTGTGTATGTTTGGAGAAATATGCACCAAAATTCATACAATTGTTAGTGCAACTTAAAAAAAAATGTTTCAAGGTTGATGAATTGAATTCAACATAGCTGCAGAAATTACTAAGAGAAAGCAAAATTAACTCATCCTTAAAAATTACTCTTGGCCCATGAAGCCCAGTATTGTTGATGCTCCAGGATTTCAGGCAGAATCTATTTTTAGCCCTACCTGGAAATGCCAGAAATTGAAGCTGTTTGATATGAAAATCTGAAATGTGTTGTATTCTACAACAGCTTAGCATTTCTAGAAAATATCAAACTTGGGAGTAGGGACAGATATTTGAAACCAAAGCATGTATAATTTGTCCTCATCTCATTTTCTACTTTTTAGTGTCCATCTGCTGAACCAGGAACTTTCAAACCATGGTCTGTGAGAGTGTGAATGAAGACAAAAAATATCTCCACTCATTAAACTGGTTTTGCCTCCAGGGACCAAAACAAAAGAGCACCTCTAAGCTGAAACCAGAACTGTATGCCACGTCTACCCTGCTGATTGATAAATCTTCACAATCCAATTGTAGAATCATCTGTTGGCCAAGAAAAGTGTTATTGTTGATGGATTATTGCTGGGTTGTAAATGTAACAAAGGGAGAGAGAAAATGAGTTTTCTTTCTGTGAACAGAAAGTTTGCTATGGTTCATTTAAGCTTGCAGCAAAGATCAGGAAAACATAATCTATGTATATGTTCACTTTTCAAGTGCAATCATGGCATCCAGCCTCAGAAATGCTACTTTAGCTGATTTGATGCAACCAATTAATCATCATCATCGCATCTCATTTCTCCTTAATCTTTTGGATGGATGACTGAAGATGGTAAGACAGTGAGGAGAGGCGCCTGTTTCATTTTCCTTTTGCATGTTAAGGATGCAAGAAGTAGTTTAATGGCTAAGAGAGGCAATTTCAGCCTCTGCTGTCAGCTTCCTGTTCTCTCAGAGTCACTAGAGTAAAATCAGAGTTGTCCCCTTAGCCAGAGTGAGACAATCACTCCAGGCAGGAGATGTGAGGCCCATTTCAATCCAATACCCAGTTCCATGGGCTTAAGGTCCATTGAACTCAGTGGGACTTACTTTTGAGTAGATATATACAGGATATCAGTAACCTATATTCCATAGAAAGCTGTTTTTCTCACAACTTATGGTGCATTATCTTCAATTTAGTTTTGTCAAGAAATGGATAGGCTGAACTGAGAATTGTGGGATTGCACAAAAGCACAATTTGTGGAGGCTTATTAGAGAGTACTGTCTTCCCATATTTTGCAATATAGTGTTTGTTCAGTGTAGTGTTTGTTTAGCCAAACACTCCGCTACATGAATATTTATTTTTTTTTCCTTTTATCCATTCTATGCTATGCTATTTTTGTGTGGAGGCTATTAAAGCCTTTTTAGGGTTATTGTTATTATTGCATTCTGTACTCATAGTGAATATGTCCAAAAATCCATAAATTTTAAAATGAATAACAGAAAATGAAATATATTGTAAATGTAAACATATTTTCTATAGATATGAGTTAAGGTGCCCTAGAATATTAGAGAAATGGGGAGAATCCTGGAAGTTGGCCATACTATGACAGGTGGAGAAAGGTCCTGGCAAACTGGCAGGATCTGTTCCCTGAAGATGAGTCAGTTCATAATATACTAGAACTGTTTGAAAGTCATTTAGCTCACCATATAACTCCCTTGCACTCCATTCCTCCCACGTCAAATCCCATTGTGCTGCTTGTGTTATATAGCTCCTTACAGCCTTTTAGGGTCTGAACCAATGTCAATTAATGCCAACTCATTTCCAAATGTTCAGCAACCAGGAAATGGTTCAAAGATCTGGACTTTGCCTTGAGCTCTTGGGATGCAGTTTCTTGTTGACACCAAGAAAATTCTATGAAAGCAGTGTGTGTGTTCCTAGAACAGAGAAATAAGAACATACAATATTTTACTGATTTCTAACAAAAGAAATGAGTCTGTCAAAAGTGAGTACGTACATGAGCACTGACAATCCAAACCTTGAATGGGCCAAATGCAGTCATTCTTCTAATATAATTCCCATTACATTAATAGGTGTACCCTAAGTATGACTAAATTGTAATCCGACCTGTTGCTTTTCCAAGTGGTTGCTCAGTAGAGTAATACGGTACAACCATGCTGAGTATTAAATGTCTTTGTGGTACTTGTTTAATAATAAGGTAAAATACATTGGTTGCAACTATTGTTCGTCATTTACCAAAATAATACTTAGTATTTGGTGCTGATACTTACCATTTTGTGTTCTGATGGAAGAAAGAAAATGGGTTGATTGTTCAGTAGTGCTGTCAATGTCCTGACTCCACTACTTGCTCTAATTTTGATGCATGAGAGGGACAAATCATTGTGTATTACTAGGCCAGTGATCAGTTGCTGCCTTTTCCTTCTGCCTCCACTTTTTTGGGGGGGGAGGGGTGGCAGCTGGGATCTATCACCATCCTGGGTTTGACCTTGGCAATGACGCTGCATTACAGTTTAGGATGAGATTTTCCTTTAGTCCTACAGCTGCAATTCACCTCAATCAGGCATTTTGCACCATAGAAGTGACACTATTCTTGAGGCATTTGATGTTGCTCTGGTGACACCCGGTGCCTGAAGTCATGGACAGAACCTTTTCTGATTATTGAAAGTGTTGGATGAGGCTGTTGGAGTGACATGAAGGAAAGTAACGTGGCTGTATCACTTCAGTCTTAAGAAGTGGGGTGTGTTTTTTTATGAGGCATCTTCAAAGCCTTGTTGAAGAAAAAGAAGATCATTTTGAAACCCTACTTTTTTATTTCTTATTCACTGAATTCATTGTGAAAACCCCATCCCTTGGCTGATTCCCAGTTTCAGAGACAGAAAAAGTTGTCACTGGCCTGTTTTAAAAGCTAACAAAGTCGGTAATACTTACCTAATGCGATGCTAAGCAAGGATACAAATTAAATGTATCTGCTGTATGATATTTTGCAAAAGAAACAGTAGCTATTAGTAACATCTTGTCGTTAATGATTCTTCACAAGAAGGCTACTTTTCCAGGAATCATGCAGATTAATTTTAACTGTATTACAGACATTTCTGAATGAGTTACTCTTTTATGATCAATCTGGATATCTGTTCTAAATGAAACATTTTGAAAAATAAATATGCTTTTAAAATGCTTTTGTTGTTTCTACATAATGTTATGATGACTAAGTGTACACATAGCTTCTCTCCCTTCTGGATATTTGCCAGGAACAACTATGCCTTGAAAGGCAGAAGGTTTTCTCCTCTCCAGTGGCCTCGCCAAATGCAGCACTTTACTCCCCCTGCCCATTCCCAAAGATGAATATCAAACATCATTTTATCGGAAAAAGTATTTCACAAAATGTATGTTGGGGAAGCTAAAGCTGCCTTCATCCCTGAGGATTACAGTCACTGGAAATCAAATGTCTTCTCTACACAACTCCAATCTGGATTCGATTGCTTAGATGTTGCCAAAATGTAGAGACCAAATATGAGCCATTAGTTAATATCACCACTGAATCATCCAGTCATACAACTGGAAAAGGTCTCAATGGTCATCAGATCCAGTAATATCTTGCTTCTGTGCAGAAGGCTGTTCCTCCACATACAATATTTCAAAAGTCAAATTTACAGTGCTTCTGATTTTTATATCACCTCTAGATATTTCAGAAGGGAATGTGTGAATATAACTCTATTCTACAATAAGTAAAAGAGTAACATGGAAAATATAAGAATTCAAAGGGTGCTAATTCAAAAGATTACATGGGAACCAGTGCAACACACCAGTGCATCATTCCTCTTATTCAAAATATCTGTCAAGCAATTAAAATCTAGAGCACCTGATGGATGCTTCTTGCCCCCAGTTACCAAACCTGAGCCAAAAGAAAGTGATGAAACTGTTATGTTAATGCTAAAACATGGTGGCATTTCAAGTTGGCAGTTTTGAGACACTGAATCACGAGCTTGCTCTTTGTTCCCCCCAAATGGTTTTCCTCGAATAAAATGGCACTAACAACAGTAGTACAAATATGCTGCAGACCCCCCCTCCAGTGTTGTTGCAGAGCAGAGTGGTGCAAAACAATCTGAAGAAGTGTTTTGCTTGGCTAACTGATGAAGCCCAGCACCTATTTAAAAATCTGCTTGGCCGTTCTCCTAAGGGTGTGCTTTGCAACTGGTTATATCTCCCATGGTAGCCATTTTGCAAGAGCTCCATTTTGGATATTCTCAAAACTCTAAATGTGCCCCCAAAGCCAAAAATGGAGGACTAGTAGATAGGACTGATAGGATAGGTATTGTATTCTTGGACTTTCAAAATGCTTTCAAAAAATCTACCACCAAAGGCTCTAAACAGACATGCACGTAGAACATAGATCTGGTGAAAAAACTGAAACAGTTATGGTTTCTGTTATGCTGAGGCAGTGAGCTAGTGCCTTTTGCTTGGGAGAGCAGACAGGATGCCCTTTCCCAGCCTTGCAGTGATAGCAGACCTGCTCTAGACCCCAGATCTTCCTGGGCACAAAGGAGCACCTTCCTCCAAAACAGGTTTAATTTATTTCCCTTATCCCTCCAAAAAAGGTTTAATTAATATCTGTTGAATTTTGGAATGCACAAGGTCCACAATCATTGTTAACTTCGTATACATTTCAATTTTTAAATTAATCATAGTTAAAGTTTAAATAAGTTCAGAATACATCCAGAGGAAGAGGAAAGAATGGGGGGAAACGAAAGAGAGGGTGCTATCTAAATGCTTTTTGTATAATGCTTTTCTTTTTCTGTTTTTTTTTAATTCTTTCATTACAATATCAAAAGAAGAAGAGAAAGAAACAACTTTAAATGTTTACAAAATATTGATTGCAATTATCAGTTATTACTGACTAGCCAGTTTATATTTTAATCTGTAAGCTTGTATGTGTGGAGCCAGTCTGGTGTAATGATGAAGGAGCTGGACTAGAAACTGGGAGACTGCAAGTTCTAGTCCTGGCTTAGGCCCAAAGCCAGCTGGGTGACCTTGGGCCAGTCCCTCTCTCTCAGCCCTAGGAAGGAGGCAATGGCAAACCACTTCTGAAAAACCTTGCCAAGAAAATTGCAGGAGGCATCTGCCAGGAGTCAAAATGACTTGAAGGCACAACTTTCAAGTGTGTACATGACATACTATTATACTTTCCAGTTTCTATATTTTAACTAAGAAATATGTAAATATTTTAACATGTCACTATTATATGTATTTGTAATTTACTCGTGTGCTTGGTTTGGGAAAAGCTGTACAAAACATTTTTTTTCCACACACAGCACACCAAAAATTAGAATGAACATTGGTTATGGGAGAATGTAAAAAGTGAGATTTCCCCAAAGCTCTTTTTCCAGACAATGCTTTTCATTTGTTTCTAAATGATGTGGAATTAGGGATGAGCGGTCAGGTGCTAATATTTGCAGATTATTGAGGAACATAAAATAAAAAAAATGGACTGTGAATGATTCAGAAGATTCAGGACCAATAAAAGGAAGTGCTTCTTTACAAGGCACATAGTTACATTACTGAATTTTTTTCCACCGGATGTCAAGACCAGCATTGTAGGTCCCCATTCTGTAAGAGCCTGAGATTTCATTTCATCAGTTCAGTTCTATGCATTATTCTTTGATGACTATATACCTCTTCATCCATTCTTCTAGCCAAAGTAGTCTTAACTGTTTCCAGAAATGCAAACAAGGTCCCAGAGCAAACTTCTGGGAAAGGCAAATGCAGCAAAGTCAAATCGAAAGAAATGGCAAAGCCTTTTCTTCTGCACAAGGGATAATTCACTGAACATCTGTTCTTCTAGCCAGTTATATGTCCACTGAAGCTTGGAGTCCATGAACTCAGGCATCTGAATGTTATCTGGAAATCCAGTCCGGAGCATCAAATAGTGTACTTCATTGCCCAGAAACCCATACATTATGATATAATCATATTGAACAAGACATGGACGGCATAGCTTGACTAATGGTGTCCACTCAACACTGGCATTCTTGGACCCACTGTATAAGATGTAGTGAATGAACTCTTTGAAGGTTAGATTGTCTGCTAACCCATGCATATAAGCAGAAATAAGTCTCTGGAAAGGATCCCTAATGAAAATCACTTTTGTATAGGTTTTAAGCAGAGTCTCCATTGATGTCAACTTATATTCACTCAAGGCCTTTTCATTACCAAAGTCCTGGTGATAAGGGACAGGCACCTGCAATGTGACATTTTCTTTCTCCAGTATCAGTTCCAACAGCTGTTCCCACTCTTCTACCCCAGTAGCTGGTATTTTGCAGTACAGGAAATTCAGTTTGTTATTCACTGCAATAGAAGAGAGTGCCTGGGAAGCTTCCTGTTGGGTAGGAGGAAGTTTAGCGAGCTTGCCTTTTTTCCTGCAAAAAGACCGCAATGTCTTTTTTCTGACCTGTTGAATATGTAGCAGAGCATCAAATGTGAGGGGTACATCAATCTCCTCTTTGACGGTCAGATGGTCTGTAAGCATAGGATGGGAAAAGTTATCATGTTCAATCAGCTGCATGATAACATTTGTCCCTCTAGTTCTAACAAGGGTCTTGTGGCCATAGGGACACTTGTGACTGCAAGCCTCCCCTTTTTTTTGTAGTCTCTGCCAATTGTGCCACTGAATAACCAGCAACTTTGTTCCCTGACTTTTGGGGACAAGCAACTTACACAAATTATTTTATAGGATTTGATATGGGCTTAACATAGCTTTTTCCAAAACAACTTTATCTTACACCAAACTAGAAAAAGACCCCAAACCCATGTCCCCTCCCATATATGTCATATGGCCCCACCCACATCTGACACAGACCCCATTCAACATCCTGCCTTCCCCAAAGGGTAATGCAAAACCCCAGGCACAGTGCTAGCTGTGCATGGCGGGGGGGTTGCTGTTCATTTTTTCTCCTCCTCCACCAATTGCTAATCAAGTAATGAACATGTGATATAAATACCTATTGGATGTGTTTATTTCAATGCTATCCTAGAGCAGTAAAATTACATTTTTTATATTATTAAGATACTTTTTGAAAAGGAAGAGGAGGAAACAACTGAGTATAAGTTACTCTAGTACTATTGTTTGTTTGTTATGTGTTACCAGGTCATTAAAGTTAATCCTATGCTCCTAGAATTCATTGCCACTATTAATAAACTATAACAGATATTTGTCTGTATAAAAAGAGAAAGAGAATACTACAGCTTTGAAGAGATGATTTTCCAGTTAAGCCATAATTGTTAAAGAGACAGTTAACTTTTGATTTAGTAAATTTATTAAAATTTATTAAAATTTCACTGGCCTTCATTGTAAGACACCTGCTAAATATCTTAATTCTAAGAACATAGGAAGGTGCCTATTTTATATTTCTTCAACATACATAACCAGGTCAGTTAAAGATCCTATTTGGTTAGGGTTTCTTTTTTTCACAATTGAGCATGTTGTGTGAACCCAACCCAGGTTATTAATTTAGGGTTTAGTGTATTATCTGAACCTAGAAAATAACTCAATAACTAGGCTAAGCATATTGCGTGCATGCAGTCACTGAACTGAATCATAGGTCAGTCTAACATCTCTGGGCCATGACTAGGAGCTGGGGGGAATGTTTGTTTGTTTGTTTGTTTGTTTATATTCTTTTTCTTTCTGAAGGTTGTGTATCCTGCTTTCTCCAGAGATTTAAGACAGATTATAGAAAGGTTAAACACAAACCCATAACGTTGCCTAAAACATGCTTTGGACACCCCAATACCAATGGTATATTACCAGCAGACACCAAATAGTTCAACATTAAGTTCCTTTCTTTGGCAGTCTCTGGGGATTATTGTTTGGTGAGTGAATGCTAGTTACACTTTTTTTAAAAAGAGAATTGCTAGTTTTTCACCAAGTTACATTTCCCAGAATTTGGGAAGAAAGCAAAAATAGTTAAAACAGCATGAATTCTATCTAGATCTGTACTGTAGATAACATCGATGTGTGGGTTTCCCCCCAACATTTGCAAAGAATGGGTTGCTGGGTTCCATGCAATGGACACAAGATATGCATTTGCCCAAATCCCCTATTCTAAATTATTACGAAAGAAAAGATTCTGTAATGCACTGGAACAATGTCTTTGGCTAGGTGAGGCAGCTTAGTGTTGCTTTCAGATCAGGGATGGGAGAGATATCTTACCTTGCTGCTGAGGTGTAGAGAGAAGATGGTGCCACCATAACAGGGAAATAAAGCCTAGAAAAGTTAAGATGATGGCTCGAGGGAGAAAGCGCATTATCTTGTCTGTCCGACCAAAGGGACAGCTGCTAAGGAAAGCAGACAAAAAAACATTTGAAGTACTGTCCACAAAAATGTTCTTGGATGTTTATTCTGGGCTGCAATGATATGAGAATAAGGTTAAAGTACTGTTTGAACATGCCTGGGCTTTGCTTGCTGATATAGCTGTGACCAACAATCAAAGGAAAAAAAACCTATTCCATGCTATACCGCTGTATTTCTGAACACAACCACATTCAGCTTCAACAAAAAGGCCCCTTTTCTCAAATCTTGTGAACTCATGCAAACTACTTGCAGATATCAATGTGTGACTAAACGCTGATAAATCTAGGAAGAAGGACAACATATTTTAACAAATGAATCCAGGGAATAGAGTTTTCTCTGTAAGTCAGAACTTGGGCAGAAGCAGAGAGCTGTGGCTTTCCTCTGGGGAGACCACTGTTACTTGAATATGCTCTTTAAGGGCCCTTGCTGCAAAATGATGCCGTGTGATCAAAGACCCAATGGCTTCCCTAAGCTGAAATGTAAAGGGTTTACAGGAGTATTTCTCAACCTGGACAACTTGAAGACGTGTGGACTTCAGCTCCTGAATTCCTCAGCCAGCCACCTTCCAAATATGGTGGATTACAATTCTTATTTTCCTCAGTGAGAATGGCTAGACAAACTGGAAGATATTGTACGGAGAGCCCAGAGAGAGGGAAGATTGGTTTGCAAGTGAGATTTTTGGTAGCAAGTCCTTCAAAGAAGTAACCATGTTCCTTTAAGCAACTAGCTTCAAAAACTTTGGTAGAGGCAGTGTGTTGATCCCTTAATGGAAATAGAAAGTTTCTATATAAACTCACCTAGTACGAAGGAGTGTAGAAAGACAGCAAGGAACAAGAATAACTTAAGTAGACATATCAAAATAAAAAGGACTTTAATTAATCATTACTTTCTTAAGTTCCATTAATTTCACGGAGGTCATCTATGGCTGACTAACCCAATTAATAATATTTTTATGTATACCAAGGACCAAACTGGAAGCCCATTTGCACGAATAGAACTCAACTAGCATTTTTATACCTCCCCCTCCCTCCCATATTAATACCTTTAATTGTATGCATAATGAGCACTTTGTTGCAACTATGTATCTATCTGTATACTACTAAAACTCTCATGTCTGCAACCTTCAACTGGGTAAAATGGTGCATCAAAGGGCAACAATTTTTGAACCAAGGTACTTCAAATGGGCTAGCTTACAGAATGTATCCAAAATCTGGGACTCATTACTCCCATGGGATTGAAATTTGGGACATTTTGGCAGCTTCAGCACTGCTACAGTCAGCCCAGGTCATGTGATCATCATGGGTGTATCCCTGACCTCTTTCCAACCTCCCTGTGTCCCCTACTCCCAGTTGGCTGGCAACAAGGCCTGACAGATGAGCAGCGATTGGCTGCTTTGGAAATGAGGCAGAAATTTGAAATATCTTAATGGCAATGGGCTTTGAGGGAAGGATGAGGCAGCAACTTGGATGCCTTCTGGCGAGGTAGGGCTGGTGGGGAGGTGCTGGTGGTCAACAGGTGAACTCTCTTCCTTCCTTGAGGGAGGAACCCTTGGGGACATGCCAGAATGGGGAGTGGGGGTACAGTTTTCCTCACAGTTTGTGGGTCCCTTTGTTCCACCTTCCCCCCAGCAAAGTGGCAGGCAGTCTCACAGGTCAGCTGAGGAGGAGGAGAAGGAGGCTTCACTGGGGCTCTCCTGAGGGTTGTGAGTGGGTGGCAAACGGTGCAAGCCTATATTATATATGGGAGGGAGGGAGGGAGGGAAGAAGGAAGACTTCTGATGCTCCCTGCCAGCTTCCCACAAGAACATTCAATGGGGAAGCTGGCAGCAAGTCAAAAATCACTCTTACTCCCACTGCTTTTTTGCCCTTGGTCATTCTGTTTCTCTGTTTAGGTAAAGAAATATCTCTGAAACTATGACCCAAATAACAAATGTAATTTTGGAGAGCTTCTGAGTGAGGGAATGGCGAGCTAAGATGTCTCTGAAAGAGCAGGGATGACGCTGTGACCAAGACCAACAGACTTGGCAACAAGCCGAGACCAATGGAACCTCAATGGATAAGGAGAGATGAGAGATCATTCACTTGCACTCAGGATGGCTGGCCCTTGCAAGGAGACTGCAGGATATTGGTTGGCTTGGGTTTGAGCACCAGGAGAAGAGGAAAGCCATCAAGCTCTCAACCACAGTGGAGCCTATATGGACACTGGGTTCATCAAACCTCACTTTCTAAGCACCTTTGGAATATAACTGTTTTAAAGTTAAAAGAGATCTTCCAAGCAACAAGTCTGAAAAACTACCGGGTGAGTGATCCATTCCAGAATAAAGGAAAAAAATTAACCAACAATTTAAAGAATTTAAAGAATGCAAAGTATAGGGCAAAAAGCTAGATAAAAATTTAATTTAAGAAAGTTTAAAATTAACTAAGAGACCAGACAAATTTGAAATATTTGATTTAATATTTGAAATATTGTGACCTTTGCTTTAAGCCTTTTGAAATAATTAAAAGCAAAACAATACCTTCATGGGAACGTAAATTGTTTAATCTTTCAGGAAAGAGATGATTGGCTGATTTTTTAAAACTAAGAAGCAAAAGAAATTTAACACAGACTATGCAATTACAGAAAAGAGACACTAGAGGGGATTAAAGATTCCAGGTAGAGAAAAAGAAAGAAAAGAAAGGCCTGTTTTCTACTTCTGAATTTGATGGCCAGGAGAGAAATTTGCAAAAATGACAGAAGAAGAAATGAAAGATGTGAAGGAGAATAATTTGGAAGAATTTACACATTGACAGAATGAAGAGGTAAAACAAACCCCAGTCTATGCAGAAATACCAGAAAATAAAATAGAAGTTGTGGACTATAATACAGAGATGAAAACTAAAGCTAAATACTAACTAAAATGAGAAGTGAAGAGATGAACAACAACCTTGGTAATGACTCATTACTGGGTTTACAAAAGAGGGCTGTAAAAACTGTGAAAAAACTCCTCAGATGGGAGAAAGAAAATTTGGATGGAGACCAAATCCTATAACAGCATGTCAATGAAGCAAAGATTAAGAATGTTAGGAGCAAAAGAAAGGAATTAATAAATAATAAATAGATATAAAGTTGACCTGTTTGATCCGGGTTAAAACAAGGAATACTTTTATAAAGTTCTGGGAATCCTTTATGGACTTTTTGCTGATATTGGACAGAAAGGTTAATGATGTTTGGATTTGTGGATGGATAAGGGTTGAGAGATGGGAAGAAGTGATTTATGTAACGTAATATCAAAGGGGGTAGAAAAAAATGCTACATTTGCTTGTACTTGTAAACAATATTGGAAGTCACTCCTTTATTTTTCTTTTGTTTTCTTTTCTTTTTCTTCTTTTTCTTCTCTTTTTCTTTCTGCACTTTTTTCCCCTTCTTTCTATACTTTTCTTTCTCTTTGATTTTGGTTTGTGTTATCTTTTACTATTGTTAACATCTTAAATGAAAAAAAAATATATAAAAAAACAAATGTAGTTTTGGAGTAGAACTGGGAAGATGTAGGCTCACACGACCATGAAAGTCACTAAGTAACTTTGAAACAATCACGATCTCATAACAAATTTAGGCTGTATTTGCATGAAGTAGCCAACCATCCTCACACTAGGTTGTACTACCAACAAAGGCCATGTGGTTAGTTTATGGTTTAGTGTCTTGTGTATAGGGCCTTGGTGAACTGAGTGGACGTTTTGTAAATATGAGGCTACAAAAATGCGGGCAACCACTAGATCAGGGCTTCTCAATCTCAGCAACTTTAAGATGGGTGGACTTCAACTCCCAGAATTCCCCAGCCAGCCATCTTAAAGTTGCTGAGGTTGAGGAACCCTGCACTAGATGACAGCAAAAAGACATGTAACATTAACTCTTTGTTGTCATTTGGTGGCCATCCAGAGTATGGTAGCCCAGAGCTGCAAGTACTAGACATGTGACATCTGAAAACAGCTAATTGTTACAAGAATAGAATGGGAAGTAACAAAATAAACCACACCAAGCTATTTGAAAAAATATGGAGCAAAGGTAATAAACTAAGGCTCTTTGCCATATAATGGTTATGTTCATTTATCAATGATTAACTTCTCTTCTATTGGATGATTAACTTAAACTCTCCTTCCTGATATTACCACAATTTTCTGAGTTTGCATTACACACTGAACCATAAATGACACAGGCCAGGTTTGCACAACAAGCTTATGCTATTTGGCAGTTTTAGGCTTGTTGTGCGAACAAGGAAGTGCTTACTTTTGCCATGGAAATGCTTATGATCTCTTCTGTGTTTCTTTGATGTTTTCATTAGAAGATGTTACTTACTGGATACATGGTGGGGATACCCCCATGTCTCTGTGTGGACTTAGGGAGGCTTAAGGATAACTGAGATATATATCAAAGTTCATGGTGGATCTGTAAAGCAGCTTTCCTCTTACAACATACTTCTTGTAAACAGCTGAATCACCCTTTTCCTTCCTGTCACGCTCATAAACTCTCTGCCTCCATTCAACATAATAAAACACTTCAGATTGTCAAGTATGTTATGATCATTTAACATCCTTACCTGGGAATAGGTCTTAGTTCAGTGATAATTATTTGTGAACAAACAAACAGCTTAAGAACCAATATTTTCTTCTGTTCCCTGCTGCAAAATTCTCATCAATGAAAGGAGGAGGAGAACAGAGGAGAATATTAGAATTGGGCTGGATAGAAAGGTTTTCTTGCTAATAGCCTTAAAGAAGCCAGATATTATCTCTGTGAATTATTTAGTTTCTTGGGTTTATTTTTAACAGTAATTATGGTATGAAAATAATGGAGGGATGGCATTGCTCAGCTTGGAATGTTATCAAGGCATCAGGACTGTAAGAAAATTCCTCTAAGTTCCCTTCCATCTTCACTTTCATCCAGTCATCTGGCAACTGGTGGAAGAGAGCACATCAAGGCTTGTAGATGGTATTTGATATTTAGTATGCTACAGAAGTTACAA